AAAGGCCGGGCGCAGTGGCTTACACCTGTAATCCCAGCACTTTGGGAGGCCGAGATGGGTGGATCACTAAGTCAGGAGATCGAGACCATCCTGGCAAACATGGTGAAACCCCGTCTCTACTAAAAGTACAAAAAAATTAGCCGGGCGTGGTGGCGGGCACCTGTGGTCCCAGCTACTTGGGAGGCTGAGGCAGGAGAATGGCATGAACCCGGGGCAGGGGGAGCGGAGCTTGTAGTGAGCGGACGTCACGCCACTGCACTCCAGCCTGGGCAACAGAGCAAGACTCTATCTCAAAAAAAAAAAAAAATACACAAAAGCACAAAGAAAAACAAAATTGCTATAACCCAACCACTTGAAAGCACTCACGATAAATGCTTTGATATGTATACTTTTATCTTCTTTTCTTATGGCTTTTCTTCTAAAATGTTCATAAATACGATCCATCGTATTTTGTTTCTAGTATTTTTTTTCACTTTCAACATATTGCCAACATCTTGACATGTCAGTATACTGCAATATGACTTGTTAGTGGATATACAGCATCCTAACTAATGACCATAATTTAATCACTTCCCTACTATTAGGTTATTTGGGTTTTCCCCAACTTTAGTCATTATATGCAATACTTCAATGAATACATCTGAGGCTAATCTTTGCACATATCCACGAATAAATCCTGAAAAGTTGAATTATAGGGTTAATGCATCTAAATGTTTTTTAAGCTTTTGGTACAGTTTTAATGCTTTCAAATGGCAACCTGAAATTCCAATCAATTTATGTTGCTATAACAGGTCAATTCATTGGGTTTCTTTTTTGAGACAGGTTCTCACTCTGTTGCCCAGGCTGGAGTGCAGTGGCACGATCATGGCTCATGGTAGCCTTGATCATTGTAGCCCTCTCTGGGCTCAGGTGATCCTCCTGCCTCAGCCTCCTGAGTAGCTGGGACTACAGGTGCATGCCACCATGCTCAGCTAATTTTTGTATTTTCTTGTAGAGACCGGGTTTTGCCACATTGCCCAGGCTATTCTTGAACTCCTAGGCTCAGGCACTCAGCCTGTTTTGGCCTCCCAAAGTGCTGGGATTACAGGTATGAGCCACTGAACCTGGCTAACAGGGCAATTCTTATTGAATAAAACTTCAATACTGTGAGGAGTAGCAGGGTGGGAAGCCAGGGGTAGGGACCAAATACAGAAAAGCCAGGGCCTTGCATGAAGCACACCAGGAAGGTCCACCAGCGAGGAAGGGAGAAGGGCGTTGTCCTTCAGGAGGGGACCAAGTGCAGCCAAACCGGCTCCCCTCCTCCTATATGGCAGTGATGGGCACAGTGACACATGTTATGTCTGTCTAGACATGACTTTGTACCTACCTGTTATCTGGTTGTTTCCCATAAGTGGCATAGTTCAGTTTAAAACGTTTCGCCTGGAAGTTTAAAAACAAACAAACTAAAACAGAGAAAGGTGTTTCAAGAGTTGAACAATATTTGAAAAAAACTGAAATAAATTACCTTGGCCAAAACATCTCCCCCTCTCTAAGCCTCAGCTTTTTCTCCTGTATAAAATGAGGGGGTTGCACGGATGACCGCTAAGGGCACTGCCAGCTCCATGGTTCTATGAGCCCAGGTGTGCCAGCTGGTGCAGCTGTAAGCTAAGTAACTGTGGGAAGAGCAGAATGCAACTCTCTTGAAATGTGTCCTTGCTGCTGCCAGCCTATCCTAGTTTCTCAATCAGGCAAGAGGTCTATAGTTTCAAGTCTTCTGTTATGGGAGGCAGCGATGCAGAATGGAAAGGCATGGATTTGGGAGGCAACCAATCTTCAGTCTGAATCCTGGCTCTGCCATTTACTACCTGTGTTGCCTTGGGCAAGTTATTTCAATTCCCTGAGCTTCAGTTTCCTGGGCCTATAAAGATAACAATGCCTACTGTACAGGGTTGTTACAGGATTATATAAAAAAAGTATACAGTAGAGATTCAATAGATGGTAGTAAGCAATGACAATAATAATGGCAACATCATCATTATCTAAATGTCCTTACAGGTGTGGCTCCTGGAAGGGGTTTCCCATTAATTTTATGCAAACACTTCTCAGCAGTGGCCAAATCTGCGAATTCTACAAAGCAGTAGCCAGCTGGGATCCTGGAAAAAAAGCAAACAGAGAAAGAAAATGGTTAAAGATAAAATGGCTCAAGATGAGGCCAGGTGCAATGGCTCACACCTATAATCCCAACAGTTTGGGAGGCTGAGGCAGGCGGATCACTCAAGGTCGGGAGTTCAAGACCAGCCTGGCCAACATGCTGAAACCCCATCTCTGCTAAAAATACAAAAATTAGCTGGGCATGGTGGCGCACACCTGTGGTCCCAGTTTACGCAGGAGGCTGAGGCAGGAGAATTGCTGTAACCCTGGAGGTGGAGGTTGCAGTGAGCTGAGATCATGCCACATTGCTCCAGCCTGAGCAACAGGCTAGTTTGCGACTTAAAAAAAAAAAAACAAAAAACAGGCTCAAGATGGGTCTTAGCCTTGAAGGGAGAAAGAAACGGTTTTCTAATCTGAGTCAACACTGTTTTTGTTCCCTGCCATACCCCAGCTCAGACCTAATTTACAAACGTGAATATAAGGATTGCCCATCTGGGCCAGTCCAAGATTCATTCATCTTTATTTATTTATTTATGAGACAGATATCAGCTCAATCTCAGCTCACTATAACCTCAGCCTCTCAGGTTCAAGCAATTATCCTCATGAATACTTGGAATTACAGGTACCCACCACCATGCCTGGCTAATTTTTGTATTTTTAGTAGAGATGGGATTTTGTCACGTTGGCCAGGCTGATCTTGAACTCCTGACCCCAGGGGATCCACCCACTTCGGCCTCCCAAAGTGCTGGGATTACAGGTGTGAGCAAAGGCACCTGGCCCCAGACTCATTTAGTAAACATTTATTTATGCATTTTATCATGTGTGAATACTCTTGCCAAAACTGTATTATGCAATCCCATCAAGCCTTTAGATCTAATAACCAGTTTCCAGGAAATTTTAGGGACAGACTATGCAAAACACCACAAGTAAACAAATGAATCCAGAAAGTATGATTTTTTTTTTTCTTCCTGAGACCAAGTTTCGCTCTTGTTGCCCAGGCTGGAGTGCAATGACGCAATCTTGGCTCACCGTAACCTCCGACTCCTGGGTTCAAGAGATTCTCCTGTCTCCACCTCCCAGGTTCAAGTGATTCTCCTGCCTCAGCCTCCTGAGTAGCTGGGATTACAGGCATGCGCCACCATGCCCAGCTAATTTTGTATTT